AGACTAAGTTTAAGCCAAATGCAATTTTATTTTGTTATTTTTATTATCAACTATTTGATTACTGCTATAATTTGGATTTGGAAATTACTGATATAGTTTGGATCTCCCAAAGATCCATGTGTTAAAGTTTTGATTTCCAGCTCTTCTATTGAAAGATGTTGGAAACTTTAAGAGATGGGACCCAAGGGAAGGTCTGAGGTAGTTGTGGGTATACTACCTTCCAAGAGAACTGTGGGATTCTGGTCTCTTTCTCCCCTGCACCCACTTCTTGGCCACCAGGAGAGCAGTTTGATCTATCATATAGTCCTACCATGATGTACCACAAAAGGCCCAAAGCAATAGAACCAACTGATCATGGATTGAAACCTCTAGAAAATAAATATTTGTGAGTAAAAAAATAAACCTTTTATCTTCATAAGTTGATTATCTCAGGTATTTGTCAGGGAGATAAGAAGCTGACTGATACAAACCTGTAGAATTACAATTCATCCACCCGGAGTGAAATGCCAATTGGTAATCTTTGTGTTCTTTTTATATTTTTCATCAGGAAAAAAATATGGAAGGAAATTGTTCCTGGGAAGAGAGCAAGTAGTGTGTTGCAAAATGATCAGTGACTGAGATCAGCTCCATTCTTCCCTTTAGAAGCCACTTGACCTTGAGCCTGTCACTCAGATCTTCTGTGCTATGTTTTCCTGAACACTCATCTTCACTATTTTATAGGAGTCTTAGTAACTGCTGATAAAATTATTATGACACATGATAATAAGCCTTTGTCCAGAGCATCATGTGAGATATGTGATGGGATTTACAAGATTAAAACGAGTAAAATATGGAAATACACATTATAAATTGCAAACCATTGGCCAGGCATACTGGTGCACATGGGAAGTTGAGGCAGGATTGCAAGTTCAAGACCAGCCTATCCCAAAAGATAAAAATTTTAAAGGGCTGGCAATGTAACTCAGTATATGATTCCCCAGGTTCAATGCACAGTACTTCAAGATAAATATACAAGTAAATAAATAAATTGCAAAGTATTTATCCAGTTTCTGGTACATAGTTGATATTTATTTTATTAGTGAATAGAAAAAGAAATGTTTCCCCTTGGCTGAATATGGTGCTGCACACCTGTACTCCCAGTGCCTCAGGAGGCTGAGACAGGAGGATCAAGAGTTCAAAGCCAGCCTCAGCAACATTGAGGCACAAAGCAATTCAGTGAGACCCTGACTCTAAATAAAATACAAAATAGAGCTGGGGATGTGGCTCAGTGGTTGAGTACCTATGAGTTCAATCCCCAGTACCAAAAAAAAAAAAAAAAAAGAAAAGAAAAAGAAAGAAAAAAATACTTTTTATCAGTTCCTCAATAATACTAAACATTTTGAAGAACACACTCAAAACCTAAGTTATAAGTAGATACTATTTTTAAAGTATTATTATCCATAAAATACGTTATTTAATAAATGAAAAGTCACATAGAAATTAGCTTCTATTTAAAAAAAGAAAGTAACTTCGTTATTGCAAGTAACCCATTTGCATGAATAATAATCCATTGCATGATTAATAAAGCACAGATTTCCCAGCCAGGCTTTTGCTTCTACCCACCTCCCCTCAATTTGACTTTCTTATTTGTCTTGCCATTTAGATCATACACTTAGGTTAGGTATGATCTTATCTCCACAGAATGTCCTGCTAATATAATATCAAACCCACTGAGCACAGGATTGTAGTTACTTTTGTTTTTCCTCTCAGAGCTCAGGATGAGATGTGACATTTCCTCACCATCTTTCTCTGCTTCTGGTGGATTATTCTATCCCTGAGAGATAGTCCTTTGGGGGCAGGAGAGGATGAAATTCACTCTCACTCCCCACTTTGAGTTATGCCTGAAGACTTCTTCTCCCTAGGGACATTTTTCAGAAATTCAACCTTGCATCTTTTGTCCAGAGGGATTGGGTAACATGTTCTCTATATTCCTATGCTAGAATAAGACTGTCCCATTAAATAACTGAAGAGAAAGAAAACTTTTGTGACAAAATTAAAAATTATGTGTGAGGCCTTAAAGAAGACATAATTAAAATCTTTCCTCATTGATAAGTTCATTACAGATCACAGATGTTAAGAAAAATTCCTTTTACCAATGGAACATCTAGGTTTATCAAAAGTTACCATTATTATCATCATAGCTTAAGTACAGAATCTGATTAAGTTTTATGACTTTATTAGGCCAAAATTGAATTAGGGTGTTGCTGAGTTTTGATTATTCAAGTTTGCTTATGATTTAATTAGTTTCAAAGTGAATCACTGATGTATTTTCCTCTGGCAATGGCAGTAAGCGATATTAAGCATCTTTTATATTTTACATAATATATTTTTCTATTCTAAGTAAATATATGAAAGTATAATGTCCCCTTAGATGATTAAAATATATGCACATTTATATATTAATGCAAATATAGATATTAATGAATAAAATGAAGCACAGAGCAAAGGATTAGGGTTAGACCAGTAAGGAATTTATGAATGATAAGGGAAACCTTTGCTGGGTGGTAACCTAGGTAAGTAGTTTTAGATGTACACAGTACCTTTACTGTATTTATTTTTATGTGGTACTGAGGATCAAATTCAGTGCCTCACATGTGCCAGGCAAGTGCTCTGCCACTGAGCTACAACCCCAGCACTGGGTAAGTTGATTTTTTTAACCATATCTGCTTCCTCTAGCTTTAAAGACATATGAATCCTTCATTTGTGCCTTAGAATTACACAAAATAGTGAGATTCACTGTATTATTTTCACTAATGTAACATGACTTAATTTGGTTGATTTCATTACCCAGTTCTTCCCTTTTCCCTCCTGTTTCCTAAATCCCCATCCATACTCTACCTGTCTCCTTCCTATTTCCATGAAGTCCCTTTTTCTCCCTTTTTTCCTCTTTAGCTTTTACATGTAAGAGAGAACTTATGACCCTTGACTTTCAGGGTCTGGCATCTTTTCACTTAACATGATGTTCTCCAGTTCCATTCCTTTTCCTGCAAATGACAGAATTTTATCTTTACAGCTGAAGAAAATTCCACTGGGTATATATACCACATTTTCTTCATCTATTCATGATCACCTGGACTGGTTCCGTAACTTAGCTACTGTGAATTGCATTGCTATAAACATAGGTATGCACATATCGCTATAGTATTTTGACTTTAGTTCTTTGAGATGAATAATGAAGAGAGGGATAGATAGCTGGGTCATATAGTGGTTCCATTCCTAGTTTTCTGAGGATCTCTATACTGCTTTCAAGAGTGATTGTACTAGTCTGCAATCCCACCAAAAATATATGAGTAGACCTTTTTCTCCACATTTCCACCAGCATTTATTGTTATTTGTGTCCTTGATGACTGCCATTTTAACTGGAATCAGATGGATTGTCAGTGCAGTTTTGATTTGCATTTTCCTAATTGCTAAGGATGTTGATTGTTTTTTTTTTCATATATTTGTTGACCATCTGCATTTCTTCTTTTGAGAAATTCTATTTAGTTCATTTGTCCTTTTATTGATCACATGCATTTTCTGCACCTTATGAAGAATCACATTCAGAGTCCTTCCTATATAATTTCTCTCTACTAACAGTACCTCATATGAATTACCCTTCCTTTAAAATTCTATATGAGACTTAGAAAAATTTTTACATGAGGAAATACTCAGTAAATACTGTTGGTACAAGATTAAAGCAGGTTTCTTGTAAAAATCTCCATCTACCAATTCATAGAAAAGTTAATAATCTCCAATCATTCGGTTAGTTAAATGTGCCAATATCCAAGAAAGGCTGAAATTCAATAGAAATATATTTCTACCAAAAGCAGTGATTATTCATAAATGTGTTTGTTCCAGTTGCATTAGTTATTGAAATTATGCAATAAAAATTAAGTATTTTACAAGATAATTAGCCATGGATGCCAAAAGAAAGAAAAATGATTATTTTGAAAAAAAAAATCCTTTTGGAAAGATTTGTCAAAGGTAATGCAAGAATGTCAGTATGGATGTGACAACTCAAAGTGATTAGGGGAAAATAACCATTAAGAACTCAGATTTAATTCTCAGATTGTTTTACAAATATCTGTAAATCCATGGACACATTTAAAATAATTGAAACTGAAATTTATAGATGTGGTAATAGAGGTGTGGTTTATAAAAGCTTTAATAAATGCAACTCCAGTCACTTCAGGGAAAAAAGCTTTCACCAAAAGCTCTTAGTTTCAAACAAGATGTTTAGATTCATGTAACCATTACTGTACGATTCTTCACTGTGACCAACATTTTCATTTTTCCAATTATTACTGGATTGAATCAAATCAGGTATGTAGATTTTACTGTACCACCTTAGGACAATACGCAACACAAACAGTAAGTAATGTAATATGCATGTTTAAATTGTTTTAATTTAACCTCAAAATCTACAGTTATAATTTCCCTTATCATATATTTAGTCACATTACTAAGATGTCCCTGAAATGAGAGAGCAGCACAATACCCAAAGAAAATCTTTTCATTCCTATCACCTAAGGCCTGGGAAAAGAAAAGAACAGATTCCTACCTAGTCCATCTTCTATGCACAAAATCAGAAAACCTCCTTCCTGGCGAAGGTTAATAAATTTTCCCTCAGCAGATAATTGAATTACTAGAAACATATAAAGACTGAGAACTAATACTGCATGGATAAGGAACAAAGAAAAAACCTTGTAACTTGAAAGATAAATTCAGTAAAAAAGTCGATATTTCTTGGAAGATTAGGGAAACTAATATTCTAAAAGACATCTTACTCAATTTTTTTATAAGTAGACTCAACAGTCCATGAAAGGGGGCCTTATTTCACAGAGAAGAGCTGATGCTGTCAGAAAAACGGTGATTTCTCAACTTCCTCATATTGACTTAACTTGTTTTTCTGGATTCCACCTTGGGCTCTCCTTGGCGCCCAAGGAGGTCAGTTTGGAGCAAACAATTGTGTGTTTGCTGTTGACACAATAATCCAGGGTATGTGGTGATTTCTCAAAAGATAACTGGACCTGCCATTTCCTGGGTTTCACAGAAGCATCCTGACTTGGAGCGAGCTGCCATGACCAGCCAGTCCCAGGGAATCCACCAGCTCCTTCAGGCAGAGAAAAGGGCCAAGGACAAGTTAGAGGAAGCCAAGAAGAGTAAGTATTGCCAGTGAGGGGGTTTGTCACAAAATGGGTGAGGCTGTGGGAAGCAGGGACATGAGCATGGGCTTCCAGGTCAGGCCCACCTGAGTTTAAACCCTGGTTTACCATCCTCCCTGTGAAACCCAGGTTGTTCATTAAAACTTGTATTTTTATAGTGGGGATGAAGTTTCCTAATATAAATCCTTCTGAGAGGCCATGTGCTAAGTGGAAAAAAAAAATCACAGATTTTGAGGTTATGGAGATGTTGCTTAATGCCTGGGTTCACAGCTTCCTTCCTGCCACCACACCTTGCGTTTCCTCAATTTTGTGCAAAGGTGAAGAGATTGACAACTTCCATACTGAGTCTCCCTACTAGACAGCAAACGTGCAAAGTTTTTATCCTTTTTAAGCGTCAGTTTTCATTTCCATGAAATTGGGATCATAACAGTTTATAATTCATTGTTATCCCTCTCTTGATAGCTTTTGATTCTCAATATTTTATTATTATTATTATTATTTATTTATTTATTTATTTTTAGTATTAGAGATTGAACCTAGGGGCACTTAACCACAGAGCCACATCCCCAGCCCTTTTTATTTTTTTATTTTGAGACAGGGTCTCAAAGTTGCTTAGGACCTTACTAAGGCTGGTTTTGAACCTGCAGTTCTCCTGCCTCAGCTTCCCAAGCCACTGAGATTACAGACATGAGCCACCATGCCCTGCTGATTCCAAATATTTAAAAATATTTCCATTTTATTCTCATTTTCTATCCTTTTATGTAGTCATGTATCTACATATTCGCAAGTGAATGTCCTCAATAAACTTCAACTTTTTTCCTACTCTTTGATATTCACGAGGTGTTAATGTTACTCATATTTTGAAACAGAATTTATGATATGACCACAGCTATATTTTAAAAAGAGAAAATATGGTGCCAGGCTCCATGCTCAATATTTATCTTGTTTACTACTCACTATGACCTTTATTGCAAAAGGGGAAAGTGATGCTTTGAGAAATTATGCAATTTACCTAAGGTCACAGGGAGGGTAAGTGGTAGAGACAGCATTGGATGAGGTCTGATTCCTCAGTCAAGATATTAACCAATGCACTGTACGAATTTTATCCATTTTTATAATGAAAAAACTAACAATTTACAGATATACAGCTTGAATTAAGTTCCCTTAGGCCCAAATCTGTATTTTTTTCTACTATTCTATTTTACATCACTTCATTATTTACTTTATAATAATTTGTAGAGGCATTCATCTTCTTCATAATTGTTTTGCCCAACTCTTCCATTGGAGCCAAAGTTTGGGGAGGTAGGAATTATATCTTAAAATTGTTGCTTCTGTGACTCTTTTGGTGAATGTAGGGGTCAAATTAGAATAAAAGCTTATTTAATTACTAAAAAAAAAAAGCTTATTTAATTGTATTGAGCAAGTGGTGGGATAGTTCACTATGATGCAAGAGAGGCAGTCAGGAAGGAGACAGGCACTACTCTGTTCACTAGGGCTTTCACCCATGGTAAAATCTTTCCCTTTATGAAGATAAATTCATTATCTGAACTCTCAGCAATATAGACACCAACAGCACAAATAGAGAAGATTCCAGCTAGAGATGAGAGGAGAGGAGAGAAAAGGAAGGAGAAGGATAAAGAACACATGCTTTACCTACTTCCCAATTTCCTCTTCAACAACAAAAATACAAATCATTGCAAGATGATATGAATGCAGTAATTTTATAGAAAAAAAAAAAGCAGTTCCATACTGGCTGGTTGAAAAAAAAAATCTCCCCTACCTTTTGTTGAACTTTCTGTTAACCACATTTAAAATTTCCAGAGGAGAAGATTAAAATAAAGATGTGACAATTAGGTTCTTTGCTTCCTCATAGAGAAGAAAACATAGGACAATATCGAGCCCATATATCATCAATATTATTGTACAATTCAAATCGTTCTTGCCAGTTATTTTTTTCTCCTTTTTCAAATTCAGCAGAGAAATATTACTAACCACGTAGGTTGTTTGGGAGTGGGAGCCACTAAGGACAACATGGCTTCAACTTCACTTGAAGATAAAGCCAACCTTTCTCTTGCCTCTTGAGCATGTGCTCTCCTTGGGCAACCTCTTCTCAGATATCAGTATTAAAAATGCATAATATATTTCTTCTGTACAAAATGCTCATTTTATTTTCTAATACTTAAAGTACATGCAGGCTTTTTTTTTCTTAGTATACCATATCTTTGTTCATGAGTATTGAACCAATAACAAAGAATAACCCAGGCTTTAAAACCATCTTGGAGAATATTTTAACTTTCAACAATTAACTCATACACTGAGTTTCAGAGAATGTCAGTGGGTTATCTTTGCTTTATTACACAGGATTTAGCACAAATTCCACTGAATACAGTTTTCTTACACAGCCATTAACAGGCAGCAGTGTCTGGTCACAACAGCACCCATCCTACCTGACACCCCAAGCATGCTGTGGCAAAGGGTGTGTTGGTATGTTGTAACTTCCCTTACGTTTCAGTAGTTTTTGTTTTCATTCATTTATTTTATTCAATAAGAATTGACTGAGTGCCTTTCAAGTTTTGTGCCACCTTGATGTAAGCACTAATGTGTACCTGAAGATTCTTACTTAACTCTCTAGTGAAGATAAGTACCTAAGAGGCCGTTGATATAAGAAATGCATAATGACATGAGTGGTATGAGCAGTCATCGTTTTTACAAAATCATGTTTTTACTTTATTTTTTTCTATAAAAAGATTAATTAGAAAATCTGGTATATCAAGGCAGAAGAGAGATTCAGAATGAAGGTTAATAAGTCCCAATAGTGAAAACCACTGTAGAAGTTCTGTATCACTTTCTCTTTCTTACATTCATTTATTTGGAAGTCAGAAACTTAGGAGTCTGCTTGAGTAGGACTCATGAGTATGTATTTTAAAATGAAAAGAAATGCTTGGGAAGAGAAAAGAAAACCCACCCAAGGTAATTCAGGCAATTCATTGTTAATTGTTTTAGGAATAAAAGTCCAAGACAGACAAGGTGGCAATGTTTACATATTATGTTGCAAAAATATTAATATATTTCATTATTGAGATCTGTCTCAGATCCCAGTAAAGCTGTTACATAATACAATATAGAGTACAAACATTTTGCCTTAGGGAATACAGACAAGGGAATGTGGTGTGATGTTATCAGGAACTCTCCTGAAGGCCAAAGCCCATCAGGCCTGTAGAAACAGAATATGCCGGTTCCTGCTCTCAAGGCCCTCAATCGCCAGACACAGAGGCACTGAGAGGGAGGTAGACAGGGCTGTGGACAGGCTTGAAAGTCAGCATGGGAGGCATTACAGGAGAAGGAATGTTGGTTTAAGTTTAAAACCTGTTTCTTAACATAGGTTATTTAGCATTTTTGAACTTCAGCTTTCCTTTTTTAAAATAAATAAAAATACAAGCTATTATCAGTCTACCTAATAACCAAGATGTTTAAAGAATATGAAAATGTACATAAGATAGTGAATTTGAGTTCAAACTAAGTACGTGGAGATATTTAATATGTATTTTATATATATATATATATATATATATATATATATATATATATATATATATATATATATAGTTATAAATAATAACAACACAAGAGTAAGTAGAATAGAGAAATCTAGTTTCATTCTTTGTACCCTGGTCCTTTGTTTGGGGTCTATATTTCCTATTCCAAGGGAGTCCTTGACTATTTCCAGTAAGTTGACGAGAAAGGTTTAGATATTCATTTCTATTCACTGAATACAGACTAATTATATTTATTAGTTAAAATTCTCATATATATTTTTACGTGTGAAACAGCCTTAAAGCAGTTAGATGGAATCACAATAGGTTTGTACTGCTTTAAACAATCTTACTAGGAGTTAACATTTTTTTGCCCAATAAATTGTTCATTAATCAAAACATAAAAGTAGGCACGTTGCTCCAAGACAAGTTACATTTTTACAACAGAACATCATAGAGTTGCCCTGGAGGTCCATTGAACTGAAGATTGAACTGAGCCTTCAATCAGAATCATTTCACAAATTCACAGTATCGCCGTCCACACAAGGAAAAGAGACTGTGTTTCTGTGCAATATGTGACAATTTTGCTTTTAGTTGTGATCTTTTATGAAAGCTGCATGCATTGCAAACTTGGAAAACTGCAGCTCTGCATTAACACTGTTGGAAATGCTCAAATGCACGAGACTCAACATCACACGAAGGACCCATATTTCTTGAATCATTTCCTAACATGCACTGTACCCCTTCTCACAAATAAACACTCAAGTTGTCTCATTTAGAATCTGTAGAAAACAATGTCTGAATTTAACTAAAAAATTATAAATCGCATTATAGGATATGCTGTGTCAGCTAGTACAATAATGCAAAAAATAGTTTTATGGTATATACAATATCAACCACAAATAATTTTTTTCTTACATCTGCAAGTTACCTTTTGTTTCCAAATGTGCAGATATTCTGAATTATTTAAACAGGCACCTTGATTTAATAAATTCTTGACTCTGCAAGTGCATATTCTGGGTTCATGAAGACATGACTTTTAATAAACTAGTAAAATAAAAGTTGTTATATTAGAATTTCATGGCCTTGTCTTATATGTTTTGTAGGCCTGTAAATACTTCCTCTTTCTTTATAGTCTGTAGCTTAACAGGGTATTTGTAAGTATACTGAACTTTCATTTCTGTGAGTGGGTGATATTAAATTATAGACCATTTTTCTGAACTAATAGCATTTGGTTATATTTAATCCAAGAGCTACACAAAGCTACTCATTGTGATCTTTAATCAGGAAAATATAAGTAAAAGAAAAGCCAAGGAAAACATCAAGGAAGGGGATGTGAAAGGGAACTAGATTAGAGTCAGAAGAGAAACTCAGTGACAATCAACTTCACCAAAGGAGAGGTGGGCTTTCTTTTTATTTTTTCTTGTGACTTATTTCTTTTTACAGGGATTGTAATTGGTGAGA